GACTATAACCACTGTTTTTGCTCATTCAATTTGCTGAAAAAGTTTTCAAGCATCTTTAATTGTATGCCGTTTATATCGTCTGCTTTGGTTCTATGTCAGCGTTATTGCATTTCAGTATGCCCACCCCTAAACATGCTTTTTTTTCTTACCACTAACCTATCTTTATTTCTTTTATATAAGGCTTTTGACCAGCCAATTCAGTCCTGATAATTTTGAACTTGTTTGTCTACTTCTTGCCTGCTTCCCAATGATCTGATTTTGAAGTTTTATTTCAACTCCTACAGCATTTCTCAACAATGCTTTCCTTTTGGTGCCTGGTGTTATGAATAGTGACCAGGCTTAACTATAGAACAACATCAGTTTCTCTACAGACTGATTCCTTGGTGTCCTTAAAGTACTTCTGCTGTTTTAATAGCGCTTAAAGTGCCATTACTTTCCACCAAGGATGTTCCTGAAATTTGGTTTCAAGGTATTTTAGCAGCTGCTTGCAATTTTAGTCCACAATGATCTTTTGATTTAAATTATTTTGTCAAAAAGAAATAGTTCAATGAACAAGTTGTTTTGGCCCACTGAAAACTTTGAAGCTAAGTAGATTTTTTTTCTTCTTCTTCTATAAAACGCATCTGCTTCCAAATTTGTGGCTAAGTATGCGGGGTTTTTTTGAGAAACATGCGGGTTTGATATCAATAAATCACTGTCAGAGTGGTGATCTATAGGGGTTGTGATGGTAATGGGAGATGGATGTTCTGTTTCTCAGCAGTAATATTTTTAAAATATCACGTCATTTCTGAAAAGGTATTTTAGCATTTAGCTTTTATAGTTGAAGAAAAACTTTCCTTAAAATTAGTTGTCGAGGAAGTGGAATTTGCTGCATATACGGCTGTTGACTGCGGCAGTTTTTTTAGCGCTGTAGCCATCAGATGGATATTGGAGCACCAGACATGTACAAGTGGCTTCCACGTGTACGCAGAAGTGATGGAAATATTATTCATAAAAAAGGCATCATCGCTGCTTCGCACGTGAACGCTCATGGGTTTCCGGTACTGCTCAGCGTTTGTCTAGCAAAATTGTTGCCTCTATAGTACGAAGTTGATCTTCCGATAATTTGCTGCCACTGATACAGCAGTGAATTATGCCTGGTACTATCGCTGTTAGCGATATTTGCCGAGCTTGTAACAGGATAGGAAAATTAAGACAGTTCTGCATCTGTTTCACTCTTAACCAATCCTTTATATTTTCTCATATATTTATCATTGCCGTAGCCCATCTTTTGAGGTTCGCACAACCAGTATAGAAATCTAGCAAGATTATAAATAAAAAAGCAATGCAAAACCACAAAAGAAATAAGTGACAATTTCTTTAACACAGATATATAAATACATTTCAAAAGGCCCTTCATAACAACTTTGGTTACCTGGTGCGGCGAATCAATAATTCCGTTGAACACGAGTATTACGCTGTCATTACATCTGTATAGTTTTGCAACCAGATAACCAAGCAATGAGAGAATTTTGAGAAGTAAAGTAATGCGATTAAGAACGGATTCAGACCTTGCAGATTTTTGGAATTGTGAGTTACTTAATGCAGTAACTATCTGCTGTGCAAGCAACCATCAGGGAGCAGCTATTATGCAACGCTACAAAAATCGGGATGAAACTGTGACACTTAAACATTAAAAAACTGAGATGAAATGTATAGAAAAGCCTGAAACTATTACACTGAATCATCGGAAGTTGAGAACTTTGTGTACCAAAATAGAAGCTATGTTGACGGTAGCTAGCACGTTTGATGGTAGATACGCTTAAATGCAGTAGCGCTCTCTAGTCTAGTGGATCTAGATATTTGTAAACGTCGTTCTTTCTTGCTTTTTTTTCAATCAGAAGTCCTGAATCAACATTTACACATTTGATTTTTAGGCTATTAGCAACAAATGATTAGATGAGCATCTGTTTAAGGTGATTCAGTTTAATAGTTTTTTTTGTTTTCTTTCATAGAAATCCCATTTTGTCTAGCTTATTTCACTGCTATTTTCAAACAATTTTCAATGTTTTTCTTTTATGGTGTAAACACCCACATCATTTTTGCACCCGTGTGGTTTGGCTTACAACAAATGAAAACAACTGATTGAAAGAGTGAACGAATTTCAGGACGCTATGACGTACCTTGACGATGAGTCAACTTCGGAAGCGTGCTTAGCGATCGAGGATGAGAGGTTGTCGTTGAAACCGTTACTTTTCCTTTTGATATGAAAAAACTTTTTTGTCTCTGCGACTCATTTCATCTTCTCTGCTAGTCTAATAGGCAAAAAAATGCAATAAGATATCAGAGAATAATGTTTATTCCGAGATCAGTTAAAAAACTGAATTCAAATTACATATGTATGTATATAAATGTGTAAACAGCTTATTACTTCACCAGATGAAATCAGTAGTTTCCTTCAATGTTTCATCCAATTCAGACTCTCGTAAAATATTTTTCGTCTTTGAGATACGTATATATACGTAGAGCATAA